TATGTTGCCCAGACCCAAGCATAATATTTATAACTGTTGTAGTAATATGTTAAATGATAAATACTGAGTCATCTATAAAGTTTTCTTGTACAATTGTATAGTCTCCAGTAATGGGCTGTTATTAAAAAAAAAAAAAAAAAAAAAAGTACTTTTTTATTTCTTATCAGCAGAGTATTAAGGCCAAACCTTGAGCAAGTTACCTTTGAATTATGTCAAATCTCCAACTTATATCATTAGAAACACGATTAGGACCATATGTAACACAATTATTATAAGCAGTCCAATGTTCAGTTTTTCCCTTTTTATAATAAAAGTATAATTTGACAAATTTGAACTTTTGTGTTCTCTGTTTTTAGCACTGCACTGAAACAAAAATTATATCACAATACATGCTAGGATTAATCAGTGTGAGCAAAAAAAAAAAAAAAAAAAAAAAAAAAAAAAAAAAACCCTTTCATTTAAGCATCTGTTTGATCAAGATCAGTCTTTATAAGTATTAACAAAAGAATTTAAAAAAAAAAAAAAAAAAAAAAAAAAAAGATATTTCGATTTGAAAAGCCGCAGAACTGTTTGGGTGACTCTATCTGTATACAAAGAAATTTAGAACTAATTTTTCACAAAGACCAAAATTTGAAATTCATAAGCAATAAATTTTTAAAAAATCTTGTAAATGTGCAAAAGAAGAATTTAACAAATGTCAAAACTAAAATTTTTCAAACAAGTAAAACCCAAATTAAAAATATTAATGAACAAAGAATTTAATCAATTTCAGTGCCATGTCATCAGGAGGAGGAAACATTGAAACCAATGAAAATCTCCCTTCCATAAAAAAATCCTTGCTTTTCTGTATCCAGAATTAGTTGATGAGCCATTCCAATGTAATAAGATGACTTGGTAGAAAGTTGGCGTTGGAGATACGTAAATGCGTATTTAGAAAGATGACACTTGAAGATAGACATAGCTGCTGATTTTGGAAACATAATTTTATTCCTTTATAATGCACATCATCACTATGGGTGTGCTATGCACTCCACAATTTTATACAGCTTACATTTTTTTAAACAATAGCTCAAATTAGAAAAATAAACTCTGCATGGCAAGCAGGAAGGCGATGCAGCAAAAAGAAACAGAAGCAAAGAAGGTGTTGCAATGCAATTATCTTTTATATCATTTCAAATCATGTGACAGATTAATGTCCAGATATTGGATGCAGATTTCATTGACAAGTTCGCATAAGAACTGCAGGGAGTTTAGTTAGAAAAATTATTGTTCTGTTATTTTTAGAATGAAAACAGAACTTAAGTTCTATTATTAATTTATTATTTGAAAGACAGATATTTTATATTTTACGTATCGCCCCTTTAAAAAAAAATTGGTTTGGTGATTTTTTTTTTTTTTTTTTTTTTTTTTTTGAGAAAGCATTAAAGCATTAGCAAATGAAAAGAGATAATTTGAAAAATACAGATCCTGAAATTTTGACCAGAATAATTCTTTATGTAATTGCAAAATATAAACTTTGATAATATTTTAAGAGTGCTATTAAAATTTGCAGTTCGAAAAGTCTGCTTTTTAAGAGTCCACATAATTAGATGTTTTTCGGGGAAGGCTTTCCAGAGCTTTACATGCAATATCACAGTTGTAAAAATTTTGCACACACACTGTGTATTTTCAATAATCATCAAAATTTTCAAAACATGACTAATTTTCATTATTTTAACATCATCTATTTTAATGGGGTTTTATTGTTATTATTACATTTCTAATTTTCGTATTGTACTCAAAACTAGAAGACCCCCACAGCTTTCTTGAATACAAACATTACCATCTGTTAGGCAAATCCACTTGAAACTGACTGATATTTATTACCAGTGGTTAAGGGCTGCTTAGGCATTTGCTTATAAAGGCCTTCGTTCGTTGTTTTAAGACAACTGGATTTTTTTGAACTGCACTGTACATTTCATTTATTAAAAAACGAAATAACTGTGCTCCATTATATATTAAAAAAATTGTATGAAAAAAATTATAAGGTGGGAGCCTTCAAAGTTTATATTTTCTGATATGAGGAGGGTAAAAGAAACAAATAGCAGAAGTAAAAACAATGCCTCTGCTTTGAACCAGTACTCCCTCAACATATTTTATCTTTACATTAATTTTTTTAGTGTTTTTATATTCATCATAACTATACTCAATATTCTAAACATTACATATTTTCTACATTATATTCAAAACACAATTCTATATCCGTTTTTCTGCACCAGTTTTTCAACATTAACTGATTCATTTTTTGCATTTATCTCATTCTTAAAATAATTCAAAATTCTTAAAATACAAACTTTTAAACAATAATCTCATTTCTAATTATTACTACAGTAATTTTAATAGCCTTCCCTAAATAAAATAATTACAAATCTTTAAACTCATTATTTAATTTAAAACATAATTAGGAAAAGCTGAATTTTTTGGCATCATAAAATTCTTATCATTTTCATAAAAAAAGTTTTTAAAATCTAATATAAACAACACTAGATAGCTAAATTTCAAAGCAGTATTTAATTGAAAACCACTTATTTCGTGGTAATGAAAAACATTTAACATACATCATTTACAAAATAACATTAAATAAACTCACAAAATTTGTAAATTAAAAGTCATATCAGAAATATTGAGTCGCTTTTTAAACAATACTTTTTGCTTTAGCAAATCTGTAGAATGCAAAATTTAAAATCTGTTGCATAAATTTAATTTTTGCATCTCTGAAAAGAACACCATTTAATTTAGCCAATAAAATAGCTGAAGAATAAAGGTAACACGAAGATTTATCTCGCACACTGAAAACGGATGTAGACAAAACATCAGCCTAAGAACCTTGAACCAATTGTTAACATTTTAAGAGAGAGGATTTTTGTTTTACTTCCAGCTTAATGAACGTCCTTTATAAAGCTGAGGTAGACTGGAAATTTAATCACTAAAAAGCCAGGGCAAAACAATATTTTTCTTTTTCTTTCTTGATATTGCTAGAAAATTTAAACTTCAATTTGAATTGAATCAAGTAGACCAATGTTCAATCAAGCAGGGATCCTTTTGCCCAGGCTCGAGTCCAACTGCACCATTATTGTAATAAGAAGACTTGGTGGAAAGTTGCAACGATTTGGCGTTGGAGAGGCTTAACTGCATAGGTAGAATGATGTCACTCGAAGACAGGCATGGCCACTGATTTTGGAAACATAATTTTATTCCTTTATAATGCACATTATCACTATGGGTGTGCTATGCAACCCACAATTTTATACAGCTTACATTTTCTTAAACAATGGCTGAAATTAGAAAAATAAACTCTGCATGGCAAGCAGCAAGGCGATGCAGTGAAAAGAAGCAGAAGCACAGAAGGTGTTGCGATGCAATTATCTTTCATATCATTTCAAATCATGTGACAGATTAATGTCCAGATATTGGATGCAGATTTCATTGACAAGTTCGCATCAGAACTGCAGGGAGTTTAGTTAGAAAAATTATTGCTCTGTTATTTTTAGAATGAAAACAGAACTTAAGGCCTATTATTAATTTATTATTTGAAAGATAGATATTTTATATTTTACACATATATATAATTCAACTGAACAATTTATTTTTCAAGTTTGAATAGCAAATTGATTTATTAATTCTTTTTTTTAGAACTTTCCTTTTTGATTTAATTTAATTTTGTGTAATAAGTTTTGTTTATGCGTATATTTAGTTTTTTGTACTACTTTTAAGCATTTGTGTATAATTTTTGGTTTAATTTCAGTATGAGTATGCATTCATACTAAAGGGAAAAGATCTGAGCATTTGAGACCTATTAGAAATTTGTTTTAAAAATAAAGGTTTGGTAATGAAAAGCGGTCTTAAGTCTCAAATGGTTCAGAGGGACGAAACATGTATTCGGAACTCTTTAATCAACTTGGTTTAAAGCTTCAAAACGCTTTTCCCTTGACAACTCCTGTTTTGAGCATTAAACAGAAGAGATTAATAAAAAATGATTTTGGTATTTGTTTTGTAATGTATTATGTTCTGTATTTTAAAAAATTTTCTCTTTACTCATTTTAATTTTCAGTTAACGATTCCATTTTTGAAAGTTCCATTAATTTGCATTTATTAAGTTTGTTAACTTTTACCCAGAGAGGAAAGGTTAGATCTTCATATCTCAGGAACAGAATTTTTTTTATTTTTTGTTCCGACCTTTACTTTTTGATTTTTATCATATTACTATCTAGCAATCAATGTGCAGATTTGTCTTTTTTCCTTTTTTAATTATTAAAACTTCCATGATGAGTATTCTCAAGAGTATATATATATATATATCTAGCTTGAAGAATTATGACTTTTATTAACAAATGACTTTTTTCCATTTTACTCTACTTTTGTGGCCATGGCCATGTTGAGTAATCTTAACTGAATTAGCCATTTTCACATTTTGAAACTGTTTTATTCTTCTAAAAACTTGACTGATGCCATTTTGAATTCTTTCCATGTCTTTTTGAGTCTTTCAACCCACTCTTTAACACGGGGGGGATATGAGTTCCCGCCAAAGTACAATCTAATCGCATTGGCTGATACGAAGTGACATTGTTTCACCCGCCTACATCACATGACGAGAGGGATGGCTTTGTAAGATACGGAGGGGATTACACCCCTTTTCAAATATGTTTCGCGATCAAGAGGACAGCTCAGCCACAGGTCTGTTTTTTATGTTTTTTTGTGTTTTTTAAAATCTTTTTTTCTTGGTCTTAGCAAGACCCACCACGGCGTTTGTTTTCATTAGAATTTAATTTCAGAACCATAATATTCATAAAGGTTTTATTCTTTAAGCTAGCAGGTCCAGCTCTTTCCATTTAAAGTGCTTTTTAAAACTTCTTAAAGACACATGTTTATGTACTTAATGGAGTCGACTACTGATTTTATATAGAAATATGTTTATGTGTGGGTAGTAGGCATTTTATCATGAAAATAATTCTGTGTTTCAGGTTGCAAGCCACAAATGAATGCGTCAGTATTTATTAAAGTAAAAAATGAATGTAGAGGTGTCCGTATAGAAGAATTTAGTGAATATGGGTATGTTTATTCATGCATCAGAAGTTTTTATTCATTGAGCCAAGTGTATTATTATTTTTTGTACATTTTACTCTTAAATTTGTTAGCGAGTTTTATAGGAAGTATAGCTTATATATCTGTTTATTTTGTACAGTGAAGAAGAAGTGATAGATTTGACTGAGGGTTCTCAGCATGTTCTGAGGTATAAACCAATTGCACCATTACTAAAAGATGGGTCTGTTCAACTTATATAACTGTTGCAGTTGAAAAAATTGTTTAAAAAGTGAAAATATGTTCAGACTTTTAGAGAAATTTTGTAATAAAAGGTTATTTAAAATGACATCTAGTTTAAAATAATTTCAGGGTAGTCAGTAAACGGATTGGCTATAAATGGCTAGTGATAAAAATGCAGGAAATACTTGTGTGGCAAACTGCTTTATTTTTTCACATAGTTCCCATCCACGTTGAAACACTTGCACATGGCTGCATAAAAGTCTTTGAATTGCTGTTGAGGGACCTTTTATTCAGTTCCTGTATCATTCACAGAAAGTATATTATTAAGGTTAGGCTTGAAAGGGAAATCTCTTGAGGCAAAGCCAAGGTTGAACAGAGACTGTTGAAGATGTTCCTTCTTGAATTCAAAAGATGCTTATCGATTGTTAGTGCCACTTGAGGCTTGTCATTGTTGTGATGGGGGCGCTGAGATTCAGTAGACCCCTCATTTCTGTAGCTTTGGGCAAGAATTCAGTGAATTGTAACCTGAAGCTGCAATGTTACATCGCAGTATGATGTAACAGTCACATTCATTCTCACTGGCAATAAGGTGTAGCAGAAGCGAAGCTACGGTTTTCAGTGCCCGGGCACAACTGAAGAATTTCTTCCTCTTTCTGTGTGCCAAGAATGGAAAACATTTCATTTTAAAATTTCGTAACATGAATTTTGTGCTCCCTGGATGCTGCGCCCGGGAACAGATGTTCCCCCTTGCCCCACCCTAGCTACGCCACTGAGGTGTAGTCTTGAATTTCTTGGTTGAGACTGAAGATGAATATTTCCTTTGTATTGAAACAGGCTTTATTTCTGATTATCAGTGAAACAATCAGATTCATTCCCTGTAATTATCTTGGTAAGAATGTACCTTCTTCTTGGCATACTGAAAGAGATGTTTCCATGATAAACGCATGCTAATAGTTTCACGTTTGTTAATCAATCACCTAAGAGCCCACTTCACCCATAATTTTTGAAAAATTGAACTGATCATGTGCCATACTAGGAGATGGCAACATCTCGGAGAACATCTTATTGTAAAAGCAAAGTGATAATTTGTTATACAGCTAGCTTCTTGAACTGTCTTCATGTTATGGAATTTTTTTGCATTGCAGCCTGTAAAAGCTACATAGGCTGGCCCGTGTTTAATGGGTATGCTGCATATAATTTATTTACTGACTTTCCTTCTTTATATCAAAATAGAAATAAACTGTTTATGTTTTACATTTTACCTTTATAAGCACATTATGATCATACTCCTAATTATGACATGGTTAGATGAGCAACTCGAGGCAGTGTTATCCCATATTAGCATGTTTTTTTGTCATTTGTTCCATGTTGGTAAGAATATCAGTTTTGATTCAAACATTTTGGCGCAGTATTTATTCAGTTGTATTTATGCCATCATTTACAAAATTTTCATTGACCTGAAAATTTCATTGTTAGATAAGTATGGATATTGCCTCAACTTTTTTTTGTGTAGCTGTGGAAAATCATTCTGAGCATGCTCAAACTGAAAGGCTAAGCTAAGACAATTTTTGTCTTCTTTTTATTAAATTAATTTTTAATATGGGCAAAATTATTAAATTTTTACATGTAAAAAATATTATCATTTGAAACTGGGTGATAAATTTTAAATAACCTTTATTGTATAATGTGAAATTTAAGGTATCACTGACTGCATATTGAATATTGAATAAGTTATTTATTTCTTCTTTTTAATAGACAGTAACTATAACACTTTCGCTGCTGGTCATTTGAGGTTGTGTGTATAGTTATAAACGTGACATAGAAGCAGATTGAACTCATATGCCAACTTATTATGAGAAATATAATTTAAAAGAAGTAATAAAAGATTGTTATCACGCACCCTTTAATTTTAGAAATTTTATGACTATGCATCAGCATGTGGTTGGCACTAGAGGTAAAGTTATCTTCCCAATGCTGCATTATGTGCTACCATGCAGCATTTAAAAATGAATCAGCATAAGAAAAATAAGTAAGAATATGCATGAAAATAATGCATATTCTTACTTAATTTTCATATTTCATATGAAACTGTAAACTATATAACAAACACATATTACAAGTTAGTTACAATGATATTATTACAAATGAGTTTATTACTAGTTACAATAATATTATTGCAAAATGCATATTTCAGAATATTATTGTGTATTGATCTTTTGCACAATCTAAATAATAGCTGGATATCCTTTACAGATTTTGCGGATAGAGATGGTATTTTTACATTTTCCTTGGGAATAGCAACTTTTGCACTGCTTTCATATTACCTTCCCACCTTTCTTTTCTTCTTGCAGTATGAGCACATGTTCCAGTTCACATAGATTACAGGTAGGAGCATTAAGATCAGATGGCTGTTTCACTAAACATCTTATCACCGACAAATGTCTTAAAGTGACATATTTCTATTGCAATATTTCTTATACATGAACTCGTCATAATTATTTGCAAAATAGAAGAAAATACTTTGGTAAGTTACCAATTGGTTTTCTTTTCACATGAATAATATGCAAGCATTTGATCTTGCTTATTAATGCATGGTTAAGTTCATTATATTAAATTACCAAAAGTGGTTTTGATTTCATGTCACCTTTTTTGTTTGCCATTTCTAGAATATCAATTTTGTGTTCATTAGAAATGTAACTGACTTCTCTTTTATCCTTCCATTTAGCAATCATTACATTATGAGCATGCTTTGCTACAGTTTGCCTTTCTTCCCCCCCCCCCCCCCCAACTTCTTTCGGAAATGTTTTCTGATTGTTCCAGCAGAATATATTTTTACATCTAGCATCATGCATCCAAAATATCATGGGCGTCTTTGGGAGGAAAGCATTCGTAGTCATTGTCACTGTCCTAACTAAAATCACTCAGGTGATCATACGATAGCTCCGTTACAGGCTTTTTATTTTGCACATTTCTTTTCTTTAAACATGAAGACTCTGCAGAACTGTCATCTGTACACTTGTGTTACAAGATAATTTTTTCAATAATTATTAATGCAATTAATTCAAAACCACATTACATTTGCAACTAAATTCTAACTTTCCTTCCATGTCAATACCAGTATACATATTCAAAACGTAATGCCGATTGAACTGGCAAATAAACATTGAGGCATATTTTTTCCTGCACAAGAATGAGATTGGCACTTGAGACATCAACTCACAGGATGTGCCAGTGCATGCATGGCTTTTCAGTGATAATGCCACATCTTGCGCCAATGTGTGATCAGCAGCAAATGAGTTAATTATTGGAATTATTTATTAGAATTAAGGTGATACTGAAACCTAATTTAGTTCTTTTAAATTTATAATTAAAAGTTAAATAAATATTCAGAGCTCTTGAATTACATAATATTTTATTGTATTATTTTTCATTTTAAGTTTTTATTGTGTTGTATATATTTAGATCACCTTTTTTTTTTTCATCTCATTAATCATCATCATGATTAACCTATATATGTTATTTGTTGAATTTTGGGCTTCCATGTTTTTGAATTTTTTTTTTTTTTTTTTTTTCAAATCATTTCTAATATTCTGTATCTTATAAGTGCCTATTTGCTGCTCGTGTATTTAATGGTATGCATCAATTTGGAAATTTGCTTCTGTAATACTTGTTCAATAGTTTTTAGAGTTTTTTTGAAATAATTAGTATTATTATTATTTTCAAATTGTACATTGTAAATTTGTTTATTGATTTTCCGATACAAGAAGAATTTAGTAAAAACAGTGATATTTATCCAATTATGTCTAATTTCTTCGTTTTTAATTTACTTGAATTTAGATAATTTTTTTTTTGAATGCAGCTTTAGAAAAATTATTGTTCATTTCATGTTAACGGAAAAACAAATGCTATGAAGAAAACTTTGATGGTAAATTCTTAAAAAGAGGTAAAGCAGATACAATAATTTTTAAATGAAATTCATATTATGAAAATCTTGTCTTGATTTTAAGTGTTTTATTTTTATTATTGTTAATTCTGAATTGTTTTAGTCCATTGCAGAGATTCATATATCTCGTTATGAAATTCTGTAAATTATTTTTAACTAACATTTGATTTGTAAATAATTTTATTTAGTTTTGCTTATTCATAAATGGTATTTTGCTAAGTTTGTCTGGGAATTAGTAAGTTTATTTTTGTCATATATAGAATACTTTGGTAAATGGAAGCTTTTCCTCTGTTTTTAGAATTTTACCATTGTAAAATTTAAGTAAAGAAATATAAGGTGGAATGAAACTAGCAAAGAAACAAAGCTTAAAATCTAGATTAATGAATTAAATATTATATTAATTTATTTTGCTTCAAAATCACAGTATAAGCAGTTTAGTTATCTAAAATATGTGTTATAAAACAATTTTAATTCACATTTTTCTGTCTGGTGTAATAGCATCACTACTTTGTGTGAAAACATCGAGATTTTTCTTGTTTCAGAATTGACAACTATAACTACAGCAAACAAGCATGTCAAGCCATTAATTATATTGCAAAATTTAAAAAAAAAAAAAAAATTCCTAGAGGCATGCAAAATCTTCTCGTGAGATGGCTAGAAACCTAACATTGTTTTTGGCTACCTAAGTTCAAGGCATTGTCAGCAGAAGAATAAAGAATGTACCAACAATTATATAATAGTAACTAAAAGTTTATCTGAATCACACTTATGTTTGAACTTGAAATCATGTAAACATAAAGAACTAACTTGTGAAGAAATGCATATGTGGCCTAACATATCTCATATCTTATTTTAATTCAGTTAGATCTTAGAACAGGTACAGTCTAAAGCAATGCTGACATTCCCTGCATTCTGATAGTTATGTATTGCTAGGCCTCGTTAACTGTTCTTCCACAATTTTGATAGAGAAATGGGGAGGAGAGTGGTCAGAGGGTTTCTTACCTCTCTTCATTTACCACCAGCCTCTCAAGAGGACACTCTGTTTACTGCTTATTTTGAGTGTTCCCTTGTCACACAGATTGTTATGTGCTTAAAAATCTCCATGCCTTCTCCGGAATTCGAACCCAGGCCTGTCAGTATGGCAGTCAGCATCACTAGCCATTGTATTGGCTGGGCAGCTGATGCTTAGAATAATGCAATTCAGGGATCCTTCTGTTTTCTCTTCTTTTTCTTACCCTCTGGAAAGGCCTTAGTGGCTAAAAAGTTAGCTAACTGCAAATACAGTTAGGTGCAAATGCAGGCGAACGGCTGTCTGCATAAGGATTTTGATGGTTTTTCCCCATGTGTAATGAGAACGCAGACCAATTTCCATTTGAAAGTCCTACATGAAGGCATCCCTTTTCTTAGACAAAAAAAAAAAACCATCATGTGCTTTGTGATTTTCAAGTAATCTAACCGTTCAATCATTTCATTACTTTTTAATTATTATTTGGCAATCCTATAAAAGTCATTGAACTAATATTTTTCATTTTTAATTAATGCAAATAAGTTTATGAGTTTATGCTACATGCCAACACTGAAGTCTGCCTGTGTTTTCTGGAATGTGAATTCTGTAAAATTTTGTAAACAAGTTCTCCATTTTGAAAAAATTAATATTGGCCAATACTTTTTTCTATAATTTGCATGAAAATGTTTGTCACTTAATTTCGTAGAATTAGAAACATTTTTCTAGGCTGACATTTTATTTTTTGTTATGTACACATGCAAATATTTCACATTTCAATTTGTGTGTAACCCTTAAATATGATCTTGAGCTTTAATATCAAGTAACTTGGTCAACTTTTGCCAGACAGGAGACATACTTTTTATATTTTTTTTAACAAATACTAAATTAATTTACATATAAGTATAATGACTAAAAGAACATACAAAAAGTTATATTTCATAATTTTTACAAAATTGATTTCTTCAAATTCAGAATTGCCATAATGGGATATTTATAGCATTAAAAATACTTTTGTTACTGGAAGTATATGTATACGACCAATGGTTGCAAAAATAATAGCTGGGTAAGCACTTTTGTGGACATGGTGTATAATAGAACATAACAATGTGATGCAAGTGATAGTAATTATATTAAATATGCAATAATTTTTGTTGTCTACAATAAACTGTTTGATTTTTGAGTCCTTAAATCCCCTTAGTGGCATGACTGTCATTATTTAATCATGAGATTTTTTTTGTCACTGGATATATATAAGCCTTTAATGTAAAATATTTGGTTTCAGCAAAAGTTTTCTATTAAGAAACATTCTTGATAAAGTTAGGAAGAAGAGGAAAAAAAGAACATGAAAGCAGTACCTTTAGTGCAGGTGATAATCACCTTCCAAATCTATGATTTTATGCCAACATTTTGGTAGTTTTCCAAAGCTTTCAGCCCAGACATTTGGTGGCTGAAAGTCAAAAACAGATTTTGGACATCCTGTGCAGGATGGAAAATAGCACCAGCAAGATTTAGCTGGAGGTGTGAAAAAAAGTAGAAGTCCGAAGGAGCGATATCGAGGCTATGTGGTGGGTGTGGCAAAAAATCTCATTCAAGACCGTACATAGTCCAGCCAGTGAATGCAGACACATGTGGTCTTGCATTACCTTTTTGCCCCGGAACTCAAGTTCGACATTTTTTCTTGATAGCAGCGTCAACATGGACTAGCATCTCACTGTACACTTTACTGTCGAGGGTGTTATCTTTTTCCAGATACTCTTTGTGGATGGCAGTCCCACCAGATACAAAGCTTGATCTTTTTATTAGTCAAATAGCACTTAATGATTTTGCTGACAGGCTCACTGGGCACAGACTTTTTTTTTTCAGCCTGTGATATTGGAAATAAATCCACCTTTCATCACAAATGATGATCTGATCCAGAATTTTGTTCTTGAGTTAATATTTGAGCAAACTAATGCAGGCCCAGAGAAGTCTGTTCTTATCTGCTGGAGTCAGCTCACGTGGCACCCAGCGATTGAACTTGTATGTCAAGTTTATGCGATGCATAGCGCAACTAATGGACATGGCAGTAACATCTAACTCCTTAGCAAGCTGTCGAGTTGCTGCATATTGATCTTCTTCCACTGATCCACACAAGTTCTCACAGACGGTCTTCATCAACATGAGTAGACTGTCCAGAGCACTCTGCTTCTTGAATGTCATAGTCCTTGCTTTCGGTACCAAACCATGACAGTGTCATATGATACAACATTAGTACCTAAAACTGAACATATGATTTGATGTCATTCTGTAGCTCAACAAATTGAATTTTTAGGGCATTTTATAAAGACCTGGCAAATGCTACCTTACTGTCATTTCCGAACCCTGATTTCCATCTTGGATTATTTTCTGATGCTTCAGATTTGTCAACAGGCTCAGTCTTAGAACAATATGAAAATAGTTCTTCAGCAATTTGATCAATTAACTATGATAAAATTACTGAAGAACAAATACAAGACAGAGAATTTAAAAATTATAAAAAAAGGTGTCAATCAATGGACAAAAATCTCTTGTCACATAAAACCAATACTTGCAGAAAATCCAAAACCTTCAGAAAAGGTCATATTGATATGGTCAGCCCATGGACTTTAGTTATTTTAGACCCAAGCATAATGTGAATACTAGCCAGTTTCCTTTAAAAAGTCCTCCATAAACACATTCCTCCCCTGAGACATATAGCCTCATGTGTTTTGCCAAATTCCAATCCTTGAAACTCCCATATCAAAATTTAAAAACGTTTGAAATTAAAATATCAAAAAGGTCCATTAAACACATTCAAACCCATATAAATTATTAAATCCTGAGATCTTAATTTCAAATTAAGAAATAAAACTTCGAAAATTCTGCTCTCGGTATGCATTCAAAATTTTAAGACAAATTTCATCAAGACAAAGGTTTTAGATTGTCATACTTGTTTGCCAAAATAGAAAGCCTTTAGAACCAAAATAATAAATGCTAACAATCATACTCTCACTTTACATTTGCTATATAGGCATATAAATTAACACTATGAAATCACTGCACGTATAATGATTAATAATGTTATCTTTTTTTTTCAAATTAAGTGGATAGACATTTATATTAATTGTTAGATAATAATATACTAAGGAATAGAATATTAAGTTAGCTAAGTGGAATGAGGAATATATTTCATTGTCTAATGTTGAGGTCACCAAAAAGTTCTTTTCTTCTATTTACCATAGACTGCATTCAGAGTCCTTCCTCTCTATTAATTTTAAAGTTCCTCAGTTTTTATCTGGTCATGGTAAGTTTGCAAGTTATCTGTTTCGTTTTAATCTACGATCAAACAATTTATGTGAATGTTCAAAAAGAGTTCCTCAGGATGTGGAACATTTGATTTTCTCGTGCCCTACACTTGATGGCCCTAGATTATGCTTACAGAACGATTTGAAAATGTTCGGAGTGACTTGGCCAGTGAACTTATCTGTTTTCGTGAAGTCCCGCCTGCTGTTCTCTGCTTTTGTTCGCTTTATTTATGCATGTAATTTTTAATGTTTATTTATACATGTAACCTTTAATGTTCTAGTTAACTTACTTCTGTAAGCCCCGTGTTGTACATATGTGGTGCACGGGGAGTCTGTATGTTCTCAAAGGAAAAAAAAAAAAAAAATACAGTTCTTCATGAATAGTCAGATTACAAAGATTAGATTTAAACTTACTAACAGAATATATGAATGAACATTCTTCTCTTTTCTTCCGAAAAAGGACAGTTATGTACAAGGCCTCAAATGCTGCTTTTCATCGATACCATTAATTGTTCTTTTAAAGGAATCTTTGAAAATATATGGGAAATTTCGTATGATTATTGACTGTTTGTTAAGTAAAACTACTCTGTTCTAATAACTCTTGATGTTAAAACTTAGGGAAGATTTTATAGATGAACTTTTCCATTTTCCTTGAATCCCATCTTTCTGGCCACCTATATATTGTTTCCTTTTTAAGATGAATTTTCGCAGAAAACTACCCCCCCCCCCTGCTCAGTCAACCACCCATAATGACTTACTCAACAAAGTTGAAGTTTTACTACTTTTGGATGTTATTTATTATCTTATTTTAATGAAAAAATGCTCTAGAACTATAGTTTAAATTCTTGAAGGTTCCTTGAACAGATTTTGGCTGTTGGAATATATGCTGACTATTCTTTACAGTCTCGCACAGAGCTAATTAATTGCCTGCAATAAAATGCCATGGGCTATATCATTTTGAGAACTGCAGGGTATCAAATACTACCTTGACCAGAGTGAAAGCGACAAAGCAATTAAACATGCCTTTTTTTAAAGTCAATAGAATTGAGGGGGGGGAACTATCATCTGAGTAATATGTCTTGCAAAACTAAAAATAAAAATGCACTGAAAGGCGAAACAATTCTGTTGGTTTAATTTAAATAATTTACTTGGAACATATTAGTTAATGTTAAAGGCAGGAATTAAAATTACTGGCACACAAAATCTGGACTTGAATTCTTCTGTTGGCAGGCTAATGAATTAATAATAGAACATAGTTGGTATTCGAGACTATCTATGAAGTACTATTGGTATTCGAGACTATCTATGAAGTGTTTATTGTCTAGCAGCAGAAGAAATGGAAAAAAAAAAAATGCGGTATTAATCCTTTTCTTGAACAACATATCATTTGAGATATATTCATGGACCTATTTTATGATCCTCACTGAAATGTAATGGGTGCTTTTAAAGAAGAAAATTTGAAAAGAGAAGACAGGATAACAGTAGTACTAATAAAGGCCAACTTGTATGTGTCTAAGAAATTTCCTTCATTGGTTATAGAGAAATCAGGAAGAAAAGGTATTTCTAAAACATTAAAGTCCTACCATATAATAGGACCGATAAAACATCCTGGGGAATTTTTGACTTTTTTCGAAGCTTTTATTTAGTTCACCCATTGTGTTTTGCTGATATTGGAATTGTAGCATTAATTTTTGACTTACTTTTGGATAAGCTATCAAGTTCAAATTTCATACATACACTGTTGGTCAATGACAATTCAATGTGATGAAAAGGTTTCTTCAAAATTAGACTTTATTTGATGTCTAAATGAATTTTCATGCATATCTTCATTTAATTAACAAATTAAGCATATCAGAATTATTGTTTGCACCATCGAATACAATAAAAAAAGATCTTATCAGTGAAACTTGTATGAAAATTGTGACTTAATTTCTGAGCGATCTTTCCGGATTGTAGATCATCAGTTTAAATCTGGTAAGATGGCATGCAGAAATTATAAAATTAAAAATATGAAACCATAATTTATGAAATAAAGAACAATTATGATCTAAAGGGTATCAAAATTTACAAAAAAAAAAAAAAAAAAAAAAAAAAAAAAAAGCTTAATATTTATTTGTTTACTTTATTAAACATTTCTTTCAATGTAAGTTGTTTAAGTTGCTTCGTTTTTTACGTGATAATACATTCTCTTTAATTCTATAAACAGACATAATTTCTTGTTCAGTTACAAAGTTCTGCTGTTCAAGTCCTATAATTGCTGTGTCTACCGACTAATTTGTCAATCGTAATTTTTTCGTTTTCAATAACCTCTGGCACTTTCTTCGCTATCGGAAGCGAATTATAATGACGAGGAATTTGATTTAAATCATATCAAAGACGGACAACATCGAGATGAAATACTACATTTAGTAAGGAATTATAAGCCAAACAAAATAAAAACATCTGCCCTGAAAATAAGGATAGTGCTGACAGATCAACTTTCAATTCATTGCGCGCCCGCCGCGGTGGTAAAGATAAACAAACGTTAAAGTTTAGATAAACAAAGGATATGCCTTTATCCATTTTTTTCAGCAATTCCACTTTTTGTTTAATGAACTTCGAAATGTACTTTCGCTTTGTAGATCTTTTACATATTAGTAAATATATATCAGAAATTCTATTTGACATAATCAAAAGTTCAAGCTTACTTTTATAAAATTGCGCTAACAGTCTGCAAAAAATAATAAGCCGGATCCAATTCGAAGATTAAGGAACAACGCAATCTGCAACATTAACTGAAATAGATACTTAGATAATTTTAGCTTAGCTTATACCTTCCGTTATACATTAAACGTGCACTTGTAAACGTATTTTACGCACGCGCACAAGCATATTCGCAGCCGTAAAG